TAGTTCAATGCAATCCCTCCCCGTCGAGGCAAGCACTGTAATTCTCTTCGGTTAGTCCACCAGCAGATGACAAACACCTACCTCTCCGCCTCTTCCAAGGAACGAGGGGACCGTGCGGCAGAGTTTCAGCTAGATTTTTTCCCCCCGGTCAACATGTCCGTTAAAGTTTAAATCTTCCGGACAAAATTAGAAAAGTGCCGGTCAAAGGTCTTTGTTATTTATTGAGCTTTAAAACAAATGAATAATGACTCTATATAATCATATAAGAATAAAACACGGAGGACGGAGATCTCTTTTTCTCCCCCTCTTCTCCCCGCTCGGCGCTGCAGCCTAGCAGCTGATCTCAAAGCACGCTCCCCTCTCCTGCAGGGGGGCGTGGTCAGCCGCAGCTCACAGAATCAGCCCCCTGCAAGAACAGGGCTGGAAAGAGCAAATAGAGCGAAATGAGGCATGGCTAAAATGCAGGATCTGTTTGGTATTTTGAAAAATAAACTTCACAGACATGTTTTATATAGGTATGGCCCTACAATATATTGTTCAAATACAGCATGATAGGTCCACTTTAAATATTTGTACTGTTTTCTCCTCAGATCACCTTCCAGCTCCAACCTGCCAGAGTCTACCTGGAAGACACCTTTGTTTACTACGTTAAGACCCTGTTCCACACCTACATCCCTGACAGTGCCATGGCCTCGGCCCCAGCAGAGCCACAGAGGGGGACAAAGTGTGGCTCAGCCCCCATCCTCCCTGAACAGGTCCACTATTCATGATGGCATGTTTTTATTGAGGCACTGATCAGGCTGAATGTGTTCTGGTTTAGTCACTGCATTATCAATAGATTATAACTTCAGCGGTGCATTCAGCTGGGGCCAGACATGCAGGAAGCAGCATCCAACCTCACTTTGCTTATAAGCGTGCCCAGGAACTCTGCTCAATTTGAGCAGTATTTAACTAATAAACCAAGGGATTTGTGTTGTTCTTGTCACAATGTTGTAATCATACATTCACATACATATCATATTCGATAATATTTTTTAGGATAGGATAAAACGATAATCTGTAACATAATGAAGGTGCATGCTAGAAAGGGCTAGAGGTAGAGTCAAGTTATTGTGCATTAGTATTCCTGGGCCTTACTTACTAAATGTGTTGCATCTGTCCCAGGTGCTGCAGGCGGTGCAGGCGCTGGTGCACCCTGTGCGGCTGCAGAGGCTGAGCATCCAGCCGGTCAACCTGCTGGTCAGCATCCATGCCTCCCTCAAGTTGTACATCGCTTCAGACCACACTCCTCTCTCCTTCTCCCTGTTTGAGAGAGGCCCGCTGTGCACCACAGCCAGGCAGCTGGTGCACGCTCTGGCCATGCACTACGCTGCCGGGGCCCTCTTCAGAGCTGGTAGGTGGTCTTCCTCTCTCAACTGCCTCAAATTCACCTGCTGCCACATCAGTCAGCAAAGGGTCCAACAAGCCAGCTTGTGTTTTATATATTGAGACAACACCGATTTACAGCATATCATCTGATTTATTCTTGTTATCATATCTGCTAAAACCAAGGAGGATCATTATCAAAATATTCCTTCACTTGTAATGGCATGAATGCACAAGCCATTATGATGGCTCGTACATGTCCTAAGTGCAGATGATGTTAAAGCACGCGTATTTAGAGCCTGCTGTATTCCACTTTGTACAGCGTGCTTCTGGCCGCAGTTACACTCAAGCAAAAAAACAGAAGCTCAGTCGGCAAATAATGATGCCTCTGAATCAAGCTCCAATGTGGACAAATGTACATTAGGTCTCATACAGGATTGTTTTCACCTTTCATGCCATGTTGAGGTATCACACACCTGTTAAACGTAGCCCGTCTCATTGAACATGCTTTTTGGGTGGGGCCTTTAAACTGGGTTGTTATCATTCATACATGCTACACTTAATGTGTTTATATATATATTTTTCAAAAGATCACAAGATTGTCTTTCTTCTCAATCTGACCTCTTAATTTGGATCTCAAAGAGCAGCAGACTGCATTGAATTTAACTCTAGAAAGTGGGTTCAATTTTTCTGTAAATATTCCCTTAATAATTATATGTTTCAAGACATATTGCAGGTAAAAACAGGCGATATGGGTTGAGCCCTAGGTTGTCAAAATAGAGCACTGTGAAAGCAGTATTTATTTCAATGGGAAAGAGCAGTAAAAATGAACTTACACCAATGGATAATCATGATAAATAATCCTGATCTCAAAATTGATCAAAACAATGGTAATCATCATTTTGGCCTTAAAGGTGGGGTAGGTAGTTTTGGAGAAAACAGCTCGAGTGAGCTAGAATTTGAAAATACACAGCTGAAGAAAATCTGCCACTTCCTTAGAGAGCCCCTCCTCCAACACACACGAACGCGCACATAACCAATGAGGGCACGAGATAAGTTTGTGCCTAGATGGAAGGCTGACAGGCAGATAGGCCATCCAGTTACTTTAGCCGGGCCGGCTCAGATGATTGGTCGTGCTTTTATACAGCGCTACATCTTCCACAGATGACACTTTTTTATGGATTTTTTTGTCAAAGCACTTCAGATATTCATTGCTATGGGGATGTTAAGAGCATTCCATGGAATATACCAACAAGGGTATCTCGAGCCGGTTTCTCAAACTTACCTACCCCACCTTTAATGTTGCAGGACAATGTGAATTCAGTGAGTACACATGTAGTGCCTTTCACCTTTCTGTTGTAGGTTGCAAGAAACGGGAAATTAATCTGAAAATCTGTGTTTCTGAAAAGGTTTGTGTATATTGCAATATTGTATGATTTAAACAAATTACAGTTTAATGTAACTATTAAAAAAAAGTCTGTTCTTTTTTGTATATGACCCCAGGGGAGGTGGGAGGGCGTCGACACAGAGCACCCCCACAAAACTAATCTCTTTGTTTCGTCAAGTCAGAAATAAAGTCAATTGTATTCAATATTCAAACTGCAGGGATAACGCTGCACTTGGCTAAAACTCAAATCCAGTGTTGTTTGCACTCAATTTAGGGAGAAATGGACAGAAGAATAACAGGATATGAGCTTGGTTAAGAAATTCTACAATTGACTCTCACAATGTGTGGAGTTAAGCTATGAAATGATTGTATCCCAAGGGCTTCATTGCTTTGTGGTAGGAATCACAAACTATATTGCTCCACAAAGTCAAACCTGAACCTCTGGAGGCTTGAAAAAGATTTACATTCTATCATTTCATAATATACCCTTTTATTCTAAGCTTTGACTGATGACTCATGGTGTGCAGGCAGTATGTTATAGATAATGCCCTGTAAAGGCTCTGCAGCTCTCCTGCGTTGTCCTGCTGTCGAGTCAAAGCCTCCACACATGTTCTGATTTAGCCGCTCATTTCCACATCAGAATGGCGTTCTGGGCCGACACTTCCTCCCCGCTGTCTCTCGTTAGAGCCCTCATTTCTGCTCGTAATTCAACGCGTCACTTCACCGCACACTTCTGTTCCTACGTCATCTTGAAGTTAGGGGAAGCATTGCATTCTGGGACACTGATCATTTTAGAATATACGGTACTTTGGTCAAACATACACCCACAGGCATAAATCAACACACATGCATAGACTTATGGACACATGAATACTGAAAGAATTGCACTATCTATGCACCATACCAGTTTATGCACATTATGTGTTTTCGAGCATGACTCAGCCCTGTAAACATCGGCTCCTGTCAGGAGTTTATGCTTTACCCAGACCACAACTGGGACACCATGTGAAGCAGAAACGAGCACTAGGCCTGGCTGGAGACGGTTTCCTACCATTAGAGCCCATCACTCAAGTGCAAATTGACAGAGAGTAAGAGCAGAGCGGGGTCGGCGTCTTGAGAAATGGCTATTTGATTTTTGATATGCAATTGTCAGTGCATAAATATCAATGAGCCGTGCCCTCTGAAGGGGGCTCTACGGCTGAATGGGAGAGATGAGGTGAGATAGTAGGAGGCTGTAAATCTAACCGTGGCACATGTATGATTTCATGCAGGAGTGTGTGTCTGTCTGTGTGCATGAGTGTGCATGTGTTATGCTTTTGGGAACTGTTGTATCGTCGAGGAAATAATTCTGATAGAATAAACACAATGTTGAAAATATAATCATGATGTAAAACATTTTGTAGGTCTGTAAAATGTTTGGATCGAGCTCCCACTCTGAACTGCTTTTGGCGAGAGGAGGAGAGTGAGAGTTTACTCCAGGGGCTTGTGTGCAGAATGTTCCTCCTAAAAGCAGGTGTTCCACATGTGCAGTTTAAAAAGTTACTGTGGGATCATACATTATATAAGTTCTGTAAATTGTTTAGTATAACACCAGTCCAAGTTAACTGAGAAGCGTAACTGAAAGAGAAAACTGAAAATAGGCTGAAAAGTAACTATGCGAAATAAAACATAAAAAGAAAGAACGTTCATTTTATAATACAGGTATGGTTTAATATCCTGTGCTGTGTTTTGTCTGTGCCTCAGGGTGGGTGGTGGGCTCTCTGGAGATCCTGGGCAGTCCTGCCAGTCTGGTGCGCAGCATCGGGAACGGGGTGTCAGACTTCTTCCGGCTGCCGTACGAGGGGCTGACCCGCGGACCTGGGGCCTTCGTCAGCGGAGTGTCCAGAGGGACAACGTCTTTCGTCAAACATATCTCAAAAGGTAACGCAGATATTCATATTTCAGAGCAGGAAATGTATAAGCTCAATGCACACAACTTTGTATTTGTGGACTAATAATATATAGTAATAACTCACTCTATATTTTTCCCAGACACAGCACATGCATTGTACAGTTTTTAACAAACACTGAACACAGGGATTGAGCATTTTACGTTTGTGTTCAGGCACGCTGACGTCCATCACCAACCTAGCCACGAGCCTGGCCCGGAACATGGACCGCCTCTCGCTGGATGAGGAGCACTACACCCGGCAGGAGGAGTGGAGGCGCCAGCTGCCAGAGAGCCTGGGGGACGGACTGAGGCAGGGGCTGTCCCGACTCGGCATTAGCTTGTTAGGTATTTGGAGATTTACAAACACACACACACACACACAATCACACACACACACACACACACACACACACAACATCCCTGAATAGAAATACAGCAGCACATTGCAGAAGAATTCATGTAATCTCTGTTAAAAAATAATTTAGTTGAAATCTGCTCCTGGTGCTTTAATTCACCTTTTCACTAATTCAATCAGAGACAGTTTTTTGATGTAACGATATATATTTATTGCCGGGAATGCACAGATGCATGTAATGGTGTTTGGCGATTAGACCCCGCTGTGCTGGAATATCATTCGGGAGGGGGAAAACCGAACCGATGAAACCCCCCTGGGGTCTAGACACTGGTGGAGGCATGAAGGGATTGATGGATGTCTGAAGAGTGGTGGTTTGAGCTTGAACCTGGATTTGGAAGAAAGGAAGGTGGAAGGGGTGGAGGAGGGCTGCGTTGAGTCACCTGAATTGACAACTGTGAGGAGGGGGGAGAGCAGATTTAAAGGTTTAGCCTTGCACTATGATAGGCTTGTGGGAATAGAGGCGAAGTGATACGTTTAGCTGAGGAGTGACGCCCCCGATCACTGATTGAGAGGAGAGAGAGTAGTAAACAGGGAATATGTGAATGAATGAGTAAAGACGGTCTTCCTGGTTGAACTTGCGCTGAGCTTCATTAGTCTGCTTCTGAATAACATAAAGGGGTTTTAGATGAGAAATGGCACAATGACAGAAACAGTGAACATCAATACAATCCCATTCACACAAGGTAGAAAGTGATCCAGAGACATTTGCAAACGTGAAAAATTGCAATCACACTGTTAAGATTGCAGCAAAAAGAATGATTACAAATAATACCTGAATCCCAAGAGCAAGTCATTGAAATTAGCAATGAATATTGGATCTCTTTATCCTTAGCATGAGGTCCCTCGATATGTATCAAAAGATGTTCTTCCCACACACATGTTATAGGCACAGAGCTGTGAGACGGAGTGCAGACAGCACAGCAGGGACTCAGTAAACACCCAAGGGCAGTACAAATCAAGACACACAGAGCATATCATCAGAAACCAAACAGCTGCCTGCACCTCTCTGGTTTACAGCCGATTATATACATAAAAAACATGTCATACAAGAAGGGTCTGATATTTTCTGTTGGGCAAAAGCATGTCTGTATATCTCACTCGGTTTCCCATGTCTTGCTGAAATGACATTACTAAGGGGACATTATTTGCATCCTGTACATTTCCATTCTTTATGTAAATCTATTTCTTGAATATAGCCCAATACTAAAGAACAACCACCTGGTCCTTGTTCCTTTAGGAGCGATTGCAGGCATTGTAGACCAGCCCATGCAGAACTTCCAGAGGAACTGGGAGACGCAGAGCTCAGCGGGAAGCCATGCCAAAGGGGTCATCTCTGGCGTGGGGAAAGGCATTGTGGGTGTTTTTACTAAGCCCATCGGAGGAGCAGCTGAACTGGTGTCCCAGACAGGTTATGGTGAGTTCAGGATCAAAGCTAACAGCATTTTGGTTTTTCACTTTCACTGAAAGACGTGATTGTAACACTCCCATTACTTTTCCTGTTGTTTACAAAAATACACAATTTGTTGATTCCAAAACACAGGGAATGAAAGCACAATCAGAGCATCATTCTTGCTTTGAATATATACTGTATATATATATAATTTGGATATGCAGTGGTTCTCAACCTTTTTACACCAAGTACCACCTGAGAAAATAGTTATACAAGTTTTTTAACATTGTTCATATGACCAATGTTAAAATACAGTCCATGCACAGTAATGCAGGACTCGGAGGCAAATGTATTCATAATAACATTATTTATTGTCAGCCACAGCTACATGTACAAAGGGCAGTCTCTCTCTCTCTCTCTCACACTCATCACCACAAGTGAGAACATAAAGAACAAAATAATAAATTATTCTCACACAACAAATGACAACTGTACACACATGTCATTTCCTCACACAAAGTGTGAATGTAGGCCTCCTGCAACAACCCACATTGTAACAGAAAATGTCCTCTTGGGAATTCAGTTCCACAATAATAATGAAAGCCTCCAGGAGCAGATGAGCCTAAGGGTAGCTCATCTTCAGTCTGCTGATGTTTGCCATTATTGCCAAAAAGAAAAGAAAAAAGATAACAATTAAGGACAAGTGTGTGCTTTTTCAGCTTTTGACCTCGGTCACAGCCTTCTCTCCATTATTTGTGCAAATGCCTTCTTCACACATCACAGCGGCTGTGCATATCAGTTTTGCGTTGCTGGCGGAGCCTGCGCGTGTGATCGGTTGATGACTGTCCTCCTCCTCATTCACTTGTTCACTTTCGCTGGTAATATTCTCCTCTGTACCTCTCTCACAACATCATTCAGCTTTCTTCTTTCTTTAGCTTGCTTGCAACGTTGGCTAATCGTTCGCGGGTAGTATGGTCGTTATAAGGCCACAGTGACGTGTCCTAAAACCCGGAAGTAAGCTTCTTCCGGTTCCCTCGACAAAAAAGAAATGCAATTTCTCCATAGGATTTTGGAAAATAGCTCGAAATAAGGTCTGTGGTTGACACACATTTAAGAGACGGATCACGTTTTGTTCAGTCGGATAATCTCCACATCTCCACTACTTTTATAATGTTCTAATCATAAATCTAATCGATAGATT